GAAATACTTCTTCACCTTATAGCATTGGGAAAAAATGGATTTAAACTTGTCCCTAAAATGAGAATCATCCATTTACGGTTGTTATCTATTATCTTTATTTTTTCTTATTTAACGAAAACAGGTGTAGAAATAGGCATGAAAAAAATATCTCATGCAATTTAATTACGAAAACATGTGCTTCGGAAGGAAGGCTTAAGTGTCGGTTGTTTAATGATACTCTTGCATCTCATCGGGTGGCCGAGTAGAAATACCATTAGAGTAAATTAACCTCTCCTCAAATCGTTTAGTAGATGTTCAGTAATTGACTGGAAACAGTTCGGTTTTGTGGTATACCAGTTTGACCTCGTTCCTCTACAGAACCTCGTTACAGTTCGTTAATAAACTTCATTTATTGCAGTTTACTGCAATATTGATGTTTAAAAAAATTGAATAAATAATTCAGGATAATATTTATGTTTCAGAGACTAAGTAGTAACTTTACCTCTGCGTGTTGTTTTTTACAGAAAATAATTTTACCAGCTTCATTTTCCTTACATATTCCTTAATACTCGGACAAGAAATCATTTTTGTATTGTAAAATTATAGATAGGTCCATGTAGGATATTCCGTCGGGTTTCATCAAAATCTATTCATTTATTGTTCTTGTAATCACAGTTTTTATTTTTATTTTTCGCCATACCAGCTTTAAGGACTACTTGAAATTTATTTTATGTAGTGTCTATCTTTTTCTTCTAGATAATTTATCTTTGTAATTAAGTTAGATCTTTGTAATTACTTTTGTTCTTGTTCGTTTGTTTTATTTATTTATTATTGTTATTTTTTTTCTTCTCGAATTTCTGTATTATTTTATTTCACTTCAAGTTACATTTCTTTTGTTTTTATTACAGTTTTGCTTTTGTTAAAAATCTTATTATTTTATTTATGTGATATATCTTTGGTTGTCTTGTAAACCAACCACTATTACTATTATCCTGGTAAAGGATGGTCGATTTATTTTGTATTTTTAATCAAAAGTCTATTCTATAAAATCTTTATTCAAATATTTTTTTAGTCACTCTTTCCCTAGAACTACTATGTATCCAACATTGATCAACACCCGTTCAGAACTGAAAATTGTCTTAGAAACCTTCGTTGCCTTTTATCCGCATTCTAAAGGCCTTTAGTTTCTTTCTCAGGATTTGTCCAAATGGAATATTGTTACACCGTATGCCGAATACGTGGCCATGAATATGAAAATCTGATCAATTTCTCCGTTCATTCTGATTAATCATAGATGCCTCATATTATACCCCATTTGCTTTGTTTCATATAAATTTGTGTCGGACATTTTATATTTATGCCATCGGTTCTATGTATTTATGATAAGTTATTAATGTTTTTTTTTTTTTTTTTTTAAATTTCTTTATTGAGTATTATAACAATCTGTCTGTTGGACATTGGTTATAGTGAGGTAGGATGACATTCACACCATATGTACAAAAAAATGAAATAAATAGAACAAAATAATAATCAAAAGTATATACAATAGACAATAAAATAAAATAACCTAAAAAATAAGAAAATTAAAACTAAGGAAAAAAAAAAAAAAAAACACATGCATACCTATATACAATCAGGCGAGGGAACTCCAGGAGAACCCTGTGCTACTCTCCCAACCGCGTCACTGGTACTAAAGCCAGCGGAGATTGGTCGAGAGCACTTTAGCCACATACACACATGTCTTGAGTGAAGAATCTGGCCATTGTCAGAACTCCAATTTATATAATCTACAAAAGGTCGCGAGGCCACTGCCGTTTCAACCTTCTTGGAGGATTATAGGGATGGGAGATGCTTGATAGGGATTGTGCAAGAGGATTTGGGTGGTAAGTAAGGTTCTGGTGAAATTTGGAGAATTTTTCTGGGATAAGGTCTAGGACAAATGGGATGTTAAGGTCATGATGTAGGGTTTTGTTGGATACATAGAAAGGAGCATCGACTATTGTTCGAAGGACTTTAGACTGGAAGGATTGGATGCGCTTGATGTTAGAAAATTTTGCTGATCCCCACAGTTCTAGTCCGTAAGTCCAAATAGGTTTCAGTATTGTCTTGTAGATCAGTAGCTTGTTTTCAATGGAAAGTTTAGATTTTCTGCTTAGTAGTCGGTATAGTTGGCCGTATCGTCGGTTGAGTTCTTGTCTTTTGAGTCTAGTATGCGGGTTCCAAGTTAGTCTTCGGTCTAAATGAAAGCCAAGATACCGGACTGTGTCTGAATAAGGAAGCTGGATGGAATTAAAGAGTACTGGTGGACAGGAATTGCGTCGGAGTGTAAAGGTAATATGTTGGCATTTAGATTCATTAACTTTAATGCGCCAGTTATTACACCAGTGCTCAATCAAGGTGAGGTGACTTTGGAGATTTAAGGATGCTATTTCGGGATCAGAGTTGGATGATAAGATTGCGGTGTCGTCAGCGAATGTTGCAAGAAAAGTATCGGGATGAACAGGGATGTCAGCAGTAAAGAGGATGTAAAGCACGGGACCCAAGACGCTGCCTTGGGGAACACCGGCTTTAACGGAGTGGATATTGGAAAATTCTGTTCCACAGCGAACTCGAAAGGAGCGGTCAGAGAGGTAGGATCGGAGGACTAGGTACAAGGACTGAGGTAAATGGATTTTAAGCTTGGAGAGCAGTCCGGAGTGCCATACCCGGTCAAATGCCTGTGCAATGTCCAGAAAGGCACCCGAACAGTATTCCTTGTTTTCTAGGGCTGAGGAAATATGATCAACAACTCGGAGTCCTTGTTGAACAGTAGAATGTTGAGAGCGAAAACCAAACTGATGGGAAGGGATATTTTGGGATTCTATAATGGGTAGGATTCGTTTCAAAAGGATCTTTTCAAAAATTTTTGAAAGGATTGGGAGTAGGCTGATTGGTCTATAGGATGTTGAGCTATTGAGAGGTTTTCCTGGTTTTGGGAAAAGGATAATAGTGGAGTGTTTCCATAACAGAGGGAAGTGGGTGGTGCGTAGGATACAATTGTAGATATATGTAAGGAATATGACTGCTTTGGATGGAAGTTGTCGAAGGATTTGAGGTGTAAGGAGATCATGTCCAGGAGCTTTACGGGGGATTAGTTTTTTTAATTGAAATTTTACTTCGGAAGGATGAATAGCTTTTGGGGGCAAGGAAAGTGGGATTGGTGATGTAAGGAGTTCTTCTACTGTTACGGTGTGGGCAGGATGGGATTCCGGATGTGAAATAAATGTATTGGATAGGTGAATGGCGAACTCCTCAGCTTTATCTTCGTCAGATGCATTAATGTTTTAAAGTCGAGAAACTTATTTAAGATTTGGGTGCTTTGGACGGGGAATAGCAAACTCGATTTTAACACGGTATACGTTTTATTTATATTTATATATAATTTTGTTTGAATTTCTAATATATTTATGATTGCCAAAGTTCCTATTAACGTACTGTGTGTGTGGGGATAACCTCGGAAGACGAATAAGAGCGCGTACAACACTTCCTGATACACTGCAGGACCTTGAAAGGGCTCTTCGGGAGGAATGGGCTATCCTCGAGCAAAGGGACATTTCCCGACTGGTGGAAAGTATGCCGAGGCGTCTTCAAGAAGTAGTGAAGGCAAGAGGAGGAAACACGCGCTACTAAACGATGATGTGATTAATTTCTTTTAGAATAATAATGGTTCGTTTTTCAATTTTTTTTTTCTCTTGTCTTTCTTACTCAACCACATTTTGATTATTAAAGGTAAAAAAGATCATAAAATTCCATAAATACTAAGTATTACCTACAAATACCATGCATTATATACAAATACAACTTTTTTTACAAGTGGGTGGAATTGTTTTGTCTGTCAGTGTATTTACTGTAGTTTAATAACTCTAGATCTGATATTATATTTAAATATTTAGGTATCTATCGACCGTTTATTCAGAAAAATCATTATGTAATCTATTAGAAAATTAAATTAGTGAATTGTTTGATGAAATTTCTTTCTTCCGGTAGATCATCATGTACTTTTGATAAATTAAATTGGAATAATTTGATCTATTTTTCCAAATGTTTGACATTTTTATGACAGACAATGTCTTAATTCCGTTTTAGTAAACTTTGCAATGGAAAATAACAGTTTAATAACTAATAGTCCTACAATCCACAATCAAAGGATTGTGCAATCCATAACCAACCGATGATATAATAAATAAAACTTTTGTTATTTTGATGGTGTTCATGATTTATTAGCTGTAATATATTAGCTTTGGCTCGGTTAAACATGCAATTCAAAAATTTTATAATAGCCCAACATGGCCAGAAAATAATTTCTATTTAAAGTTGAGCGGTAAGTGACAGTTGTTTGTTGCGCGCACTAGATTTTTTATATATTAGTTTTAAAAAATTGTCCATAATGATTTATTAGTATGCTGTGTTTGTAGCAATCCAATATAATTGGCTCTTTGAAAACGTAAATATTAGGATAAGGAATATTTAGTTATAGAATATTTGTTCACTTAATAGAATAAGAATAAATTTCCATAATAGAGAAAAATACAGGGCTTTCATTATCAATTTCAAACATAAATTTGAAAAAGCGCAAAAGTTATTTAACAAAAAACTTTTTCTAAGAGTAGGGTAATCTTAGTCGAGTTGAAGGGTGATAAAAAAAATCACAAATATTCCATGATTGTATTAAAAACAAAACTTCTAACAAATTCTAACTGCATTAGAACTAAATTTTCTCTAGTTTAGTATGAAATATTTATTAATTATTTAAATTAATTTTGTTTTTGTTATCACTTTAAATTTCACAAAACATATCACACTTAAAAAAGCACTAAACAGAAATTTCCCGCTTTTCTGTGCATAGTGCTAAATATTTTTAACTGAGATACTCCCTACATGTAATTGTATAGATTTAAACTTTAAGCGTACATTAACTACCTTTTTGTTACTACGTACTTTAAAATAAAATAATTTATAAACCTTTATTAAATTTTATCAGGCAGATATCTCTTGGTTACTTATCCTTCTCCACAATCACCTTACTTGCTTTTTCGAGCTTCCCGCGCAGTCTGGTTGTCTTATCCATTATATCTTTTATGGTACCTCCCAAATTTAGAAAATTCTTTTTTTGCACCATTGATTGCATTTTTTCTAAATCATTAATAATATATTTTAAACTGCACTTGATATATTCCACAGGGAGTCCTTCGTGATTGGGCCTTTCCTTTGTGGGTCCTTTCTGAGTGAGCTTTTCCTCTGTGGGTCCTTTCTGTTTGGGCCCTTTGGTCGAATATCTCATCCCGTTGAGAGGCAGACGGACAAGTGGGTAGACATATGAGGAAGATTTGAATGCATAGGTCAGATTTCTAAGCATTTTGAGGGATGTATAAATCCAATTTTCTTTTTTTCTTTTTTTTTTTCTCTGTAATGTTCTTAATCGTATTATATTATCATATGGATACAAAACATCTTTTTTTTCTACATTATTTTATCAACAGCTTGACATGACCATGTGATTTAAATAAGAAGTGCATCTCTGTCTCTCATATATATATATATATATGTAAGTATGTATAAGTTGTGTCTAGGACTTGTGACAATAAAAAAAAAAAGGAAAAGGTTAACGAAATGAAACGCATGAAGTCGAAATCAATACTGGTTTATTGTTCCTTCTAATCCTCTATATATACAGTTTGGTCTTGTTTACATCAGTGCGTTTGGTATTAACGCTAATACTGTGCCGCTCCGTACCTTAACTTATATATATATATAACTTATATATACAACTTATATATATATATATATATATATATATATATATATATATGTTTTCCTGTATCATTTTCGAAAAATTGAAATTCCATTCTTCATTCTCCCCCTATCGTTCCGATATTATTACCACTAATAAATAACCATCGGATAGCTCACTACTTTTCGTTAGTTCGTTTTTAACAAGAACATTGTAGAAAGTGATGTTTCTGCAATTAAGTGTTTTGCAGTAATTTTCAATTGTATTCATTAGAATATTAGGTTGTAACAATAAGAACACAAAATCTCCATTTTTTGTTTCCCGCATATTTGTAAACCTGATTAGTGTTGAAGAAAATTGGTGGAGTCGGAGCTACGTCATAGGACTGTAAACATGGCTACCTCATGGTCTACCAGTGTCAAGCTCATAACATAGATTATCATATAGTTATTATTTTTAATAGTTCTTCCAATTTGAAAACTTCAAAACATAGGTACATAGACAATTTAATGCTCTTTCAAATTATAATGCATGTCTTCGAGAGATGCATAAATTATAAGATTAGGGAGGAAAATAGACGAAAACAGATATTTCTTGTGGAATAAACAATAAGTCAACATTCTATAACTCCTCATCCGTTGGGCCTACATCAAAAAGCTATGTATAAAATTAATAGTAAATTTTATCTTCGTATAATTTCGATAAAATGCGTAGTTTCGGAGTCAATTCCAGAAAAAAAAAAAAAAAAATCCGATATATAGCTGTTTGTTGCAAATATCTTGTAACATAATGGAAAATTTCGTTCAGGAATATCAAATTGAGATTCAGCATCTCAAAAAAACAGAAGAGAAACCTATGAGTAATTAAAATTTTTGCCTCATGCCTCTGGCCAATTAGATGACTTTGAAGTCCTCAGCTTTCAAAACGCAACCGAGTACATCGTCAGTCAATGTTAATTTAGGGGCCGTAATTGCAGCCGTATGTTCTTCCTTTAAATGGACCGCAAAATGTCGCCTCTTTAATTTAGATTTTCTCATAGAAAGCTACTGATTTCAATCGACTGATCGAGGTTGTGTGTTCAGATGAGGTTTATCTAGAACTCAAAATTGTTACTAGCTTAAAGTCCTTCCGTTAAATGAAATGGTCGGTTGCTCCTAGTGTAGAGGTTATAGTGTACTAAGGCCTGACCCGTAGTCCCCACCACTCTTGTGAGACGCACTTTTAATTCATAAGTAACCTTTTTTTATGATTAAAAAACTGCAATCTGAATCTCATATAAGTCGTTTGAAATTTTTTGCAACTCAAATTTACGCGATTTTTTTTTAATGAAAGTCGCATACCCGCCGTTATTTGTTTAAAAATGCTCTACAATGCCAAGAAATAACTCATTAAAATTCATCTGTTTAATGCAGGGGTGCAGAAACTTTAAGACCGCAAGCCTATAGACCTCGACTAAGGTCCTCGGGCCGCATCAAGACCTCTAACCAAGTTCCGGCCATGGGTCTGTGGTAAAAAAAAAAAATCTTGTTCTATAAATAATCCTTCGGCTGTCAAATGAACACTAGAAAGAAAAAAAAAACAACATGAAATCGACATTTTAATAATCGCTTGTGTGAGTAGTTTGCTAAATTTCATATTTTAAATAGTTTTTTACAATTTCACCATGTAATCAAAGAAGTTTTGGCGGGACGGATTGTGAAGGTGCTTGCGGGTCTTAGTTTGGAGATCCCGGGTTTAATGTTTACTTAGTGATGGCGCTTTAATTAGCGTTGGTTATTGCCTAATTTGTCTTGATTAACGTTCGTATTTCTAATTTCAGGCAAAGCTCGAGTTTCTGTTCAGTCTCGTTTAATTAAATTAATTTGTTTTTTATTGGTTTCAAATGACTCCCCTTCCTCCTATTAGTAACTTATTTTCTTATGGATATTCGCCCTTAGGTTTCAGTGGTATGTGCCTGATCATAATAGAACAATATAATTCGGTCTAAATAAATGGATAAAATGGATGCAATAAGTCATCATGTTTGATAATAATTTATATTTCCTTAGAAAGTTTTCCTAAAGCAAACTCCTTCTCCAGCAAATCTCTCCATCTCTGCCGGTCCATCGCATCCTCCTCCGACAGTCCACTACCAGCCATAACTCTCCACCACTCTATCCTTCCATCTAACTGGGGGTCTTCTTCTTCTACCCCCATCCTCCTAATCCATAATTATCTTTGGTATTGTGATAATAATAGCAAAGAGTATCTCAGGATATTTCATAAAATAAAATGGTTAATTTAAATTAACAATTGACAAATATTTTAATAATTGCTAGAAAATAAGTATGGGTTATAAAGATGAACAGTTTGGATCGAAACGTCAATCCGCTAAGTTGAGGAATTGACAAAGAAAAGGAATTCGATTCTTAGACAGAAAAATATTTAAAAAACATATAACACTATTATTATACCTTTGAAAATAAACTTGCATTGTTAAAAACATTATTTAGATCCACTTGTCAAATCTGGTTAGTACTATTTTCAGCGAAGACCCTAGTTTCAATTCTATCAAGTTCATAAACCAAATTACGGACTACTAATACGATATGCTTTCTATCTTAACACAGACCTTTTTTATCGTAATTTAATGATAGGGTATGGATTATCATTTGAATTGTTTTGTTTAGCGAACCCGTTATTTTCTTCCTTTATGTTTTTAATAATAGAAACCGACATTTTAAGAACTGAAAAATTCAACATTTTAAAAAAATAATAAACCAGACTTCATAATGCTTCATAAAGAGAAATAAAAAATTTGTATGTAATTTGACGCTTAAATGGTAAAGAAGCTAAACGACTTTTCTACAAATGCCAATCATACAATCTTAAAATTACTTTTTAATATCTTTCAATTGGAACCATCAAAAGTTGAGGAACTGTTGTGAATACACTTTTTGGCAGTTAGGTTTATTATCACTTTAAATTTATTTTATTTATTATTAACCAAACAAAAATGTGGAACATTAGATTAAATTTGCTATCTGCAAATTTCTTTGCAATAAGCAAATTTTTTAGCAGCTGCTAAAACTTCCAACATTAAAAAAGTTCAGTCCTTTAAGTCAAAAGTGTTGCGAAGGATAGTTGACTTTTTATGTCGCAAATGATACACTACATAAAGACTTAAACGTACCTACAATTTTAGGTACTTCAAAAGAGAACTACAATAACTTTCACCAAAGACTGACGTACAACATGAATCCTCTGACAGAAATCCTTCATCGTACAAGAAACTCGTACAGCCCACCACGACGATTACATAGGCGTTGGCCAAGAGACCTGCTGATCTGATTTACATCCCCAACGTGATGGGAAGCTGTGAAGCTGCTAAAAAATTTGCTTATTGCAAAGAAATTTGCAGATTCAAATTTAATTTAATGTTCCACATTTTTGTTTGGTTAATAAATAAATTTATTTTAATTAATCATCAAACATTATTTACGTTGGTTTAATTTTTGAAAAGAATAAAGGAAGTGATAATTACGTGGACTACGAAAAATTGGATGTTCTTTAAAGAGTTCTTTGCCTTCCTATGTTTTGGGGCAAATATTACTCGGCACGCCACTGAATAATTATTGAGGATAGTTATCCAGAAATATTTAATAAAAATTAATAGTTTATATTAAATAATTAAATAATTTATATTTGTCTATTATGTACCAGAGATGGTACATAATAGACAATAAAGAGAGTACTGAGTACTAAGTATTTTACTCAAATACTGGCCTTTTTTTGAGTACCAAAGAATGTTTTAATTACTACTTCAGTTGATGTCAAACGATTAATTGAAATAGTGATTAAATTCTCAATAGGAATTCAATTTGAGTATAATACTTGGTCCTCGGTACTTAGAATAGTATTTGCCCATATCTGTTATGTGCCTGCATGCTATTAAAAGTTTCTCGGAGCGTGGCAAGTTAGTCTATGCTTAAGCCATTGACTACGTGTGATCGTTAATTATGAAAATTTATGAAGTATATTATGAAATCACTGGACACGTACCTCGTATACGTATCTCTTGATTTGAATCCAGCTAAGCAGGCAGGGTTCTCTAGTTGCATACAAAATGCGCAGGCTGCGTTACGATGGCAGTTGCGGTTTCATTTGATTATCTGACCATGAAATCAAACTGAAAATATAGGAAGAAATATACAGATCAGTGAAAACTTCTGTAGTAAAATTTTGGTTGCCAAATTTCTACAATACGGCATTGACCTTCGTTTGAGATTCTACTTGCGGGCCAAAGAGCGTGGAGCGGAATGTGGAAAATTATCTCGAAATTGGTCTGGGCCAACAGTCAACATCGCTCAATGTTATTTACGGCTTGTACGCCAAAGTTTTCCTAACTTCCTATGCGATATACTGTGATGTATTCTGGTCGGAGTATTCACATTGAACATATGGCCCATTTTGACACATCTTTGAAGTATTTTTAACGGCTCCTTATATTTTTGAGTTGGATATCTAAATTTAAATTTATTGAGCTAAGGTTTTACTAATATAGTAATTAATTTAATGATTTGGTTTTTATTTCGCCTTGATGTATCTATTTGTACACGTTTAACAGTTCACATATAATTGACACATTGTTGGAACAATCTATAGCTACCAAAACTCTCAATTTCATTCTAGTATTTTTTCAGTGAAATGGCCTGTTATGATGGATGCTAAATATTTCGTTCCAACTTTTGATTTTATACTGGTTGATTCTTTTTTTTTTTTAATCGGATACCATTTACAATATAATAAAAAGCATGATCTAATATTAATAATTTTAGATATTATTAGAAGTTTTCTTAGCATCATTCCATACTCCGTTATTGTGTGGAGCTACTGGGACAAAGAATTTGAGGGATGTAACAGAAAAACAAGCCTTTTCCGATAAACTCGACTCGACTGATATCAGATAGCCTTGACAGGAGGAGAGAGGAAAAATGGGCGGAGGTGTACATATCCCTCGTTTATCGATACCAATGTTGACGCGCGGAATCACGGCTTTCAAAGTTTCGTTTCACTTCGTCTAACGCGCGGTGTTGCTGCATCCTTTCTGAACAGAAAGATGACATAATATAGAAAATTATCTTTCTTAATTCAAAATATTTTTTTATGAACATCTTTTAAATTTCTTCTGCAATTTTATAAATAAATATGATTTGAGAATTAATGTGAACAATTTCATTATTATTTGACGAATTATTTTTTCAACTACCTGTAAACCTCTAGGTTATATTTTTATTTTATCAATATACAATTATCTTCATCTTCTTCATGGGTGCTACAACTCATCGCTGAGTTTTGGCCTCCTCAATTAGTTTCACCCACTGGTCTCTCTCTCTTGCAGCTCTCCTCCAGTTAGCTAGTCGAATAAGTGCCCTACAATCCGCGTCTACCCCATCCATCCAGCGCAATCTGGGTCTTCCAGCTCTTCTTTTTCTTTCTGGACGCGTCAGCATAATTTTGCTGGTTGTGCTATTCTCATCCATTCTGGTGGCTATATGGCCCGCCCATTTCAAACGCTGTATTCTAATGAACATATAACCGGACTACATCCGTATCATTATGTATGGTGGCGAGTTCTGCATTACTCCGCCTTCTCCAATCGTTACCTGAGCGTACTGGTCCAGAAATGCGACGTAGTACTTTTCTTTCAAAGACCACTAGCTTGCTTTCGTCTGTTATGGAGAAGCTCCACGTTCCCGCTTCGTATGTGAGGATAGGACGAATCAGTGTCTTGTCCAGAGTAGGTTTTGTTTTCTTGGAGATTAAGCGATTGCTTAGATACCACCGCAGGGCAAAATGACATTTATTTGCCGCCAGAATGCTCTTACATATATCCTCTAATACATCGTTGCAGGCATTTACTTGGGAGCCGAAATAAACATATCGTTGGACCGTTTCGATTGTGTAGTCACCAATTGAGATTTGTGGATGTAGTGCATTTATGCCAGCAACCATATAATTGGTTTTGTTCTCATTTTAGATAGTCCCATCCTCAGTGCCGACTGTTCGAGAGCCAGAAAAGCCTCCTTTACGCCGCGAAGAGATCTCCCGATGATATCAATATCGTCTGCGTATGCCAGGATATGTATAGACTTATTAATGATGGTCCCATATACAAATAGTTAATACATTTTGAAAAAAAAAATGAAAAATAATTGAACCTAGAGGTTCGATTCCGTAAACACCATCAATCTTTGCCTTCGTATTGGTGAAGTTACACAAGCCACTGGTTTAATGCTGATTAGCTCTTAATTATACGTTCGGTCTCCATCCCACTGAACATATTTATTTAAGTTTCTGTTGTGTTATTTATTGAGGTATATTTATCTGGTCCAATATTCTTCCATTTTTTTTTTCTTTTACGAAAGTTTGTATTTGAATCTAATAAATTTTTAAAAGATTGTCACGATCATGATGAATTTCTCTTAATGATTCTGGCCATTTTTTATTTTGGCTGAAAATTTAGGGAAAGAAGTTGCCGTAATTTTCTATAATTCTATTTACCTTAAAAGATGCGTTTAAACACAATTTTAAAGCGATTTAAATTTCATAAACTACGAGAAACATAATTATCTAACTTAACTAGCATTATTGCTAAACCAAACCATTTATTTAACTTCCCTTGATACCGACAGCAGATGGAAAATAACAAAAACAAGAAACAAAATTACTAGCACACTAAAATGACGATTTATTTATTTGTTTTCCCCCATAGTTTGTGAAATGTCTGAACTCACCTTAATATATAATCGGAAATGATACAGTAAACATTGAATTTTTTTTTTCTTTATAATTATATTACAGTTAATTTATTTTATATAAATTTTTTTTCATTGCCCTAACTATTTGTTTTTTTTATTCCAGCTACCACAAAAGCCCTGGCAGGAGCGAAGTCCCTTGGTAACCTCCTCTACTCAGCTGTTAACAAAGCTGGAAAAACTGTCAGCGAGGCGTCGGCCAAAATCAAGAAAACTGTAGAAGAAAATGTGAGTAATAACATTACGTAATCTACAGTTATCGGGCTTGCATGGCAGGTCGCACTTGTCTGGTCCTTTATTTCCATATGAGGGCTTCCTTTTCCCCGATTTTATTAGAAGTGATGTTACCGGCTATAATTTGTTATAAAAATTATTAACAAATGATCATTTTCCGTTATAGTTTTTCATGGATTTGTTTTTTCTGAAACTGTCATGAAATTATAGTTTATATACTTACGATTATAATTAAATTATATATGTGCATAAATTATATTATATATTTCTTCACACATCTTGGTGATTCACTTTGTGATAGCATTATTCATGCTTGTCAGTATATAAAAAAAACTAAGACCACATTAACAACTCGAGATTAATAATATGAAATATAAATTATAAATAATAGCTAATGAGCTATTAGCTCATAAAGGGAATGAAATGCTGAACATTTCTCTTGCTTACAGTATACAGATCCGAATTTTAGTATCTGAAATATTTTAATTCATATCTTCAATTAAACTCGGTATAATTTGATTTTCGAAACTATTTTTCCCTTTTCACCTCTCTAACACGATGTTAGGTTACGATACAATTTTTAATAATAGCTCATTACAAAAAAGATGAAATGCTGAATATTTCGCTTGATTACAGTATGCAAATCCGATTTTTAGTATCTGAAATATTTTAATCCATATGTCCAGCAAACTCGTTATCGTTTGGTTTTCATCACTATTTTTTCGTTTTCGCCTTCCTAACAAAGTGTGTTCAAATTTGGAGACTGTGAGCAATCTCAAGATGCATAAAGCCCCTGGGATAGATGGGATGAAAGCGGAGCTGCTGAAATTTGATATTTAGTCAGAAGAAGTAATCCCTGAGGACTGGAAAGTAGCGCTTATCTGTCCCATATATAAGAAAGGCGACAAGCTCTGCTGTTCTAACTACACAGGAATTTCTCTGTTGAATGTTGCCTACAAGGTATTTTCTACTGCCATCAAGCTGGGAAGTATCAATGCGGCTTAAGGTTAGGAAGGTTCACAATAGACCAAATATTCACATGGTCAAGGTGTTGGAGAAGGCTTTAGACTGCATCATCTTTTCGTGGACTCAGTGGATCGATCAACACTGCTCAGAGATCTTCTATCCCTGAGTGTCTCTAGGAAACTGAACAGGCTGTTAAGAATGACCATGAGGGACACAAGATGCCTGGGTTAGCTGCTGGTTATATTATCCAAGGTGTTCCAGACAACGGCAGGAATCTAGCTCTAGAGGAGTTTGAGGTGGCAGCAGCAGCAAGGGGTCTTTAACGAAAAGAAGACTGCCTACATGACGAGTAGCATTTTAAGATATGTGTAAAACATTTCAATAAGTCGATTCTAGCCGACTTTACCCGAGCGTTAACTTTTCCCAAATCTTACGGCTAGTTCACTATCTAAAAAAAAGCGCAAAATCCGCCTAAAAATGTTTTCACTTCAAAAATAGTAAGCTTAGAAAGTAAATCATTCATTCACCAAATTTTTAATGATCTACTCACATTGCAAGAATGGTCAATTTTCGGCATTTCCTGAGTACAAAACAAATTTTATAAAAATAGCGTTACTACAAACATTTACAAAAACATTTTAGATATACCATACCGCAAAGTGAACTTTTCCACGTTATTTTTCCAAGTCTGGGTCGGAATGTCATACCAGGCTAAATATACCTTAATGCAGGAGTCTCCAAACCTCTTGGTCCACGGCCACATTGAGACCTCCACCAAGTCCCGCGGATCACTTTGGGACTTCAATTAAAATCCAGAAAAATTAGAGTTCCAGAAAGATCTTTACCCTCCGGTAACTGCGCCTATGTTCTAGATCTCTCCAAACTTTTTGACACATTGAGACCTCAAGTTCTATCTTTAGTAATGAAATGAGCTTTCTAAGATAAACAACTCGTACAATAAATGTTGCAGTAACCTCGTGTTTAAGTGATATATTAAATTTCATATTTTTTAAACATTTAAAATTTTACCATGTAATCCCAAAACTTTTGCTGGCCGAGTCGGAGGTGCTTGCGGGCTTTAGTTTAGAGACCCCTACCTTAACATATCTATCTGTTCGAAATAAACTTTTCTGTGAATATGATTAGCCTTAGAATTACACCTAGACTTCGAGTCTAATTAGAGACAGGAAATGCATATTTTAGAGAATAGTCGTAGAATATATATATATTTTGTTTTTAGTTATTATATGGTATTGATTGAGGAGTTTCTGTAAGGAGCTCTTTATTGGCCTTTCTTCACCGTGTGGAAGTACTCTGATCCCAGATCGCTCCCGTTATCTTGCGGAGGATTTGGTTAAAATGAGCGATATCCAAGAATAATTCAATTTTCTCATCTATGAACCCTTAATTATTGTAATATATTCATGATATATATATATATATATATATATATATATATTATTTAGAAAGTGGAATCAATTTCCTACATAATGTTATTTTTTGGGGGGCTTTAGGAAAAAAAGATGATCAAAAGGAGGTTTTTCATTTTCTTAACGATTACTTTAGTGGAAAAGCGTAGTATATTAGAATTTTAATCTTGGGAGTTCAAGAAGAACAATCTGAACTTTCTCGCTTTGCTTATAGAATCCATTTGCAATAATAGGTACTATTATCTTTCTGTTCGTAATTGTATGATACGTAAACAGTTGTTTTATTTTGTAACTGTTGTAACTGTAACTGTTATCTACTGATATATGATTTTTGAGGTTTCCAAAGAGGATTTGTGATTCCTGGCCTGCAAGTTAACTCGGGCGAGCAAGGAGGGAGGGCGGAACGATCAATACGCTGGTGCTGGTAGTGGTTTTGGGGGGTTCACTTGTTGATGTTCTATTCCACGCTTTTCTTTTGTCTTCAGCTGCCCTTTCTATTAGCCACCGTTATATCATAATTGATGGCATATTAATTGTTGGAAGGGGAGAAGGCTGACTAAGAGGTGAAAAGAATAAAAGTGAAGCGTTGAATAGGAAAAGTAATATTTTAAAAGCTGTTGGGATATGCTTTTCTCTTCATTTTTTTTTTTTAAACACATTGTTTTAGATGAATGTATATAAATAAATTACTGAGCTTTCAAATATTAACTTTAAGCATTTTATTATTTCTTTTTTTCAAAGCAGAGCAAACTTTACTAATCGTTAATCCCTTTTATCCTTATATGAAATTGTCATAAGTTTTAAAATTAGTAACATGTAACTTTTATTTCTTTAAGTTTTGTAAATTGTAATAATTAAATGAACAGTTTCGAAATTAATAATTAAGTGATATACACATTACACTCTACCCGTATAAATTATTCGCAAAGTACATTGTTCAATGAATAAATGGCAATATAATATAGAATTTAATAAACTCAACGTATTATTAGAGCTAAGAATAAATTTACTTTTTCCTGACCGATTACAATGGTTCATTCAATATAATATATCAATACGTCTACAAATTTTAATCGGCAGTATCTTTGCTAAGAATGGCCTTATACGATGATATATTTTACGTTGTGTAGAAATCTATCTAATCTGGGAAAAATAATTTACATAATTTTTAAATTATTTGCTTATAAAGTTTTATTTACTCTGTAACTTTTTTCTTACTTTTCTGGAGGATGTTCTTATTTTTTACACCTGAAGGAGAAGATATTATTTTAAATCATTCTGGATCATTGATGAATGGATTTGATGAAAATAAACGAAGATATGGCGTACTGAGAAAAAAAAATACCTTTCAGAAATATACATACAATAGATATATACCTACAGATATGTCGTCATAAGGCTGAAACATTGACTTTCAGAGAACATCGAACACAATAGTACAATTACTAACCTTAAGTTTTTTAAACATTGCCCATTTTTTAAATTAACTATATCGTCGGCTATATGTGAAAGTAGTGCAGCGTTACACAGGTTTCAATTCGAATCTTCAGAAAGAAACTTGTTTACTGTTTAAAATATTTGTTTACCTCTATTTGCAGTTTACTTTTAGTTATATTTAATTAATTCTATTTATTCACTATAGAATTGGACGACCAACTAATAGTGATTGGTTACTTAGTTCGCTTAAATTTAAGCTGCAATAGAACTCAAGTGATGAAAGACGTATATAAAATTGAGATTGCTCTTTTCAAATTATAAGAAAAAGATCATATTTAGCCAAAATCGTGGGAAAATGGTGCGACCTGATGGAGGTATGGATGGGATTGCAGGCGTGGCCTCAGTTCATCGTGGCTTGATGTATAAAACTGCTACACACGATACTGTCAAATGTATGTTACCCCTATCTTTACTAATACGTCTTTAAAAAAATTAATAAAATACAATTTAAACTAATTCTTTCTATTCAGAGAGGACAGGGAAAGAGAAAAAGCTAAAAAACATTTCTTGGCAGTTTTTGATGCTGGAAACACTATTCTAACCTGAAAGCTATAATGGTGTACTATTGAGGTCGTGGTGGCCACCGTTTCGAATTCGGTCTGGGCGGGTTAAAATTTATTTCGTGGCGACCCCTCCGAATGAATCTCAACCTTCCCACTCTGGTTGGAATAGGTTTTGTTGTACCTCTAGAAACTCTTGAGTCTCATTAAAACCTCCATTATGCCCCGCGCAGCTGTAAAATGAGCTTCCTAAGAGAAAAAAAAACATGCAATAAATGTTGTAATAACCTCTTATGTAAGTAATTTTTAAAACAATTTTTAATGGTCTTTAAAATGTTACCATGTAATCAAAGAAACCTTCGCGGGCCGAAATGATAGTGCTCGCGGACCGTAGTTAAGAAACCCCTCCTGCTCTTGAACAAACCCGAAAATGGCGGAGTTAGAGTGTCGAAAAAAACAATGGCCTTGACCCGTCTCCACCACTTTTCTTTAACGCTAAATATCTTCGCCAACTTTTTATTAAAAAAATTCAGGACTTTTAGTGTTAGTCTGATCATCACTAACAATTGTATAATTTATCTCTGTTTTAATTTTTTTATTA